TGTGACGATCAAAATGTCATCAAATGAAACAAGGCATCCCGAGACGGTTGGTTCCCCGGTCCCGGTCCAGACGGGCCAAATGAATTCAAGGCCAAATGAATTCCGGAATAATTGCGGTGATGAGCAGCTGCTGCATAGCCATCTTTGAGAAAATGCCCCATGTTGCAAAAATGGAAAACATATCCTAGTGTAAGGGCACGCAATCCAAATCGAGTTTATTGAGCTTGCCTGCGGTGTATCTGTTGACGCAACGGTTAGGGGAATAAAACATCATGTCTTGGCTTCAGACAAAAAGCTGGCTTTGCGATAAAACGATTGGCTCACGAAGCGAGCTATTCACTATGTTTAAGCTGTACTGTATTGTGTGTCACGCGCGGCTCGGCCTCCGCTTAGAGCAATCCAATGAACTTTAAAGTTAATAAAACGGTAAGGTTTCCATGCGCAAGGGCGCAGGCAGGGAGGGGCACAGGGGGCGTGTGCCCTTCCTTTGGTCCCGAGGGGCCATGCGGCCCCTCGGGTGCGACGACCAAGGACCTGATTTTAGGCCCCTATTTAAGGGCCCGATTTGGGGGGCCGAAGGGCCGCCTAAGGGCTGACCGGAATTGTTGAGGGGCACCGGCTCGCAGGGCTGGGCCTCAAATGCCATTCAAAGGATCCTTTTCCCTAATCAGAGCCCCTTGAGTCGATGAGGGCCTCTCTGTCTGTCAGGCACCACCAATGCCGAACAGTCGGTTGCTTGTCGGCCTCAGCCTGAGGGTCCATATCTAAAAGAGGGACAACAGGGGCCCATGATTTACATTGGTTGGGACCCTTACATTGTACGGGACCCCTGGGTCAATGGGAGCCCCTGTGTCAGTCACTGGCATCCAGTGCCTCACACGGGGCAGATGCTGACAAGGAGTTCCGATTCGGCTGTGGGCAGTGCCGGGGGAGGCCTGAAGAAGCAGAGGCCCGAAAGCTCCTCGGAACTGACGCTCAAGAGCCAGATTAGAGGGCCGAACGGTGACTGTATGTCATATTATCGATCCTGGCGCGCAGGGCCAGGTCCTCAAATTTCAGTCAGAGGGCCTCTTGCATAGACTGGGACCCCTGTAACAATGCGGCCCTTTATTTCGACCAGAGATCTCTAATACCGAGCAGTGCGCTTCGTGTCCGTCCGAGCCCTGGGTGCCCATTTTCCAAGCAGGAACAAGGCCGGGGCCCGCAAGTCTTACAGTGCCAGCAGTATCAGGGGCCTCAAGTCGGCCCGGGGAACAAGTCCTGAACAGGTGCAGGGACGAAACTCCGAATGATAGAGGGTCTCTCGCGCTGGTCGGGGTCTTTTAGCAATGAAAGGAGGTCAGAACTTAAGATGAGGGTCCACAATGCGACAATGGAAGGTCGTGCCCGTGTTAGGCAGAGGCCCAAGTACCGAACGGGGCCCCAGTACCTTCAACCTACTTCAGCCAGGGTCCTGCTGAACCAATCTGGAGCCTCTGTGCCAATCAATAGACCACCTGAGGCAATAAGTTTTTTTGCGTTAATGATAACCCTCGCCTTGATCCAGGGTCAACTGCCCGGGTCACACGAGACCAACATATGATGAGGATGTTTGGAGGTCTTGTGAGCGCATAGGCTACTAAGACCATTTCGTGATCGAATCCATTACTTCCTGATCGTTATTCTGCTAAAATGGCGAGCATGTGATATGCAGACCGGTAGTGCCCAGAAAGTTCAACAATGATGAGGTTCAATATCAGGATGCTTTCGAATTAATGACGTCAGTAACCTAAGGTCACCAAAGAATGTCTGCCTCTCAGCGGACGGCTGTCGACAGTGGACCAAGACATAGGCGACAGCCGGCATTTCGCCGCACCTGCTGCAGGAGGGAAATCCTTGCGCGTTGCTTAATCGGAATCTGTGCGTGCTGTACGCATGGCGAATGCTCAGGCGTGTCACTGGTACCTCTTCCGTACGTCGTTTCAAAAATGATGATGCCCAAGCGCCTATGAATGGCTGGATAGCTTTCGGCTTGTTTGAATGGTGTTCCTCGTTCCACCCGAATTGTCATATGACAAGCACACACTCATATCGTTTTAAGTACGTGTGGTTTCAGGGATTTGCGGTGTACTGTCAGGAGTAAAAGGCGTGGCAGACTTGGCCGCTTGGTCTGGTGACTCGTTGCCAGATAGTCCCACGTGCCTCAAATATAAGCCCCTGAGCTTCTTAGTTGAGCTCGGCAGGGCGCGTGGAGCCCTTCTGAAACTTGCTAAGTGATATACCACAAGTGGATTAAGCAACTTGCAACGACTCCGGTGATGAACTACAGCGGGTCTGTATTTGGTGTTAACACCAGCGTCGCGTAGACAGTTTTCTATACGCACACATAGGGCTCGGGTTTTACTAACCCTTTTACTAACCCGTGAGAAATGGCTTGTGTCCGATCGGTACTGAAGATCCAGGTGTGTGCTGAGTGAATGGGGACTTGCCTAATTTTCATAGCATACCGCGTTGTCAAAGCCCGTCGTTTCAGATCAAGGGGTGCTTCACTCGCGTCCACCTGCAAACGCGCTGTGGGCAACATGCGGAACGCATGGGTGGCTGTACGAATGTCTGCGTGGTGAATGGTGTCTAGCACTCTCTTGCCAGAGCTGCATGCCGAATCATAAGTCAAACGCGCGCACTCCAACTTTGACCTGATAAGTGAACGGTAAAATAGAAGCATTGACTTGCGGTCTCTTCCGTATGTCATAGGTGACTACTTTTAGAACATCAAGAGGTATAATACGCGCCCGGGTGGCCGGCTAGATACCCTTCGCCCGGATGGGGAGATCAATTTGACACGCTCCCCTGAGATCCCGGGAACAAAGAAAGTTAGAGGTACCAAATTTGTAGAGTGCATTGGCTTGTACGTACGCTCGCTAAGGTCAAAGTTTGAGGTTCCTAGATCATGGCCTTCAGGTCAAATAACGTCAAACCAGGTCAAACTCCAGGCTTGTCTCCAAACTGCCCACAGAACCTAGATAAATGTTTCTAAGCAAAAGATCGCAAGCTCATTTAAGCTCAGCGACCTTGTTTGACCTTTTGAATGTCATGGTATCCAAACTCGTACAAGATTGCTCTGAGTTTTGCATTTGAATAAGTTACAAAGATTACGCTAAACAGTACGTTCCTAAAAACAAAATGTCGACCTGGGTCATCTAAGGTCATGACCTATCCTGACTTCTAAGAAGTCAGTGGAATATATATAATGCGGTTCCCACCATCAGTATATTCGAAATGAGCACCTAAACTATCCCATACAGCAAGCTCTAGAATAATAAAACGGGTTGGTTTTGACTTTGGTCTGACCTTCATATCTGACCTTAGGTCAACGCAATTTGTTCATTCAATATTTGTGTTGGTTAAGAAAGGATCTCAGAGATGTATGGCTTCGTTAAA